TAGATAGATATTAATTTAATAATCATCCCTCCGCTTGTTCATCTAGGGCCAAATTAAAATTGCCCACAGAATGTGAAGGCACGAGATGGCGCATCATTTTGGTTTCGTATCATCTTTGACGGAATCAACTTGGCTAACGGCGCTCACCTGAGAATCAGGCCTAAGCGGAGGGGAGAGGTGAGCCCCTTAAGTTTTCCTTTCCTTCATTTTCCCTCCTCTCCTAACTTACATTCGAAAAGCCTGATACTCAGGCTTCTGACGCGAAAATCGTAGAACATTCATGTTGCGTGACTCGGTGTATGAATACATCAAAAACACATAGATAGATATTCGATTACTTCTATTATTATCATAAGATGCTTGGTTGGTTTCCTTTATAATTCTCAGTACGAAGAAAGGGTGCCTCAAATTTCTATTCAGTCTAATCATTTTACTCTTATTCATTCTTTTCGTTCGGTCTCTACTCACGATCCTTTTTGAAAGCCCAAATCACAGCCCTCATACACTGGTTAGAAACGTGGCCGGTATAAATAAGCTCAACACACGCAATCGAATTTACAGACAATTAACATACTAGTTCATATTCTAATATCGTCGTTTATGGCACCATATGTGTTTCATTTGATGTTCAATTGTAGGGAGCTTTAAAAATGATAGATCTCTGGTCCCATCGCTTGATATATTAAGTTAAGTTCTGATTCAATTTTTAGAGAGATGAACCACTGCGAAAATTTGGTTTTTGTTGCGTTAAATTGTTTCAGATTGTTTGCAACTTCAATGTTCTCCGGTTTGCGGGATTTATTCAAGAACACGATCACAATAACTCACCTGGCTCTTTTCCTGATTTTTCCTCCGCTTTATATCAGCCTGTCTTCAGTTCACAGCAGTTAAACTTAACTGTAACCCTATAAACCTCACCTTTGTGACTAGCCTGCGAGCAGGCTAACCATCGAGTCAGGCGCGCGAGCGGCGAAGAGCAAAGCGATCCGGCGGGAAGGAGTCTGGTGAAGAGGCGTGAAGAGGCGCGACTTCCTCGTCTCGCGACTACGCCGCGCGCGCTTGTGCCAGTTCGTGACACCCAGTGTACACAACAAAACTTTCGAAACAGGGGGCGGCGCAATAGTCATTTAAGCCCCGTGACAGCACTTTAGACCTTAGACCTTAGACAGCACTGGTCCCCGGAGGGGAGGGGTACCTCCGTAAATTTGGATAGGTGTGTGCCACGAAGGGTCTTAAACCCTGATCCTATTTAAGGATGAAGAACATGAAAAATGGCACCCTATTTAAGGCCCAAACCCGAAAAATGACATTCTGTTTAAGGCCCAAACCCGAAAAATGACACTCTATTGAAGGGAAAAACCAAAACTAAGAATAGCGTGGACGGCTCAAGTTTATTTCGTTTCTGTAACTTTGGACGGGTACGAATAGTTCAGTTTAAAAGATCATTTGTTTTTCGTTTAGCTGGGCATTTACGCACTGCAGTTTTAGCTGGATACAATTTAGGTACCCTATCTAAGGATCACATCAGGAACACAATGCCACCATGGGCAAAAGTCATACATCAGACATGTTCAAACGCCTGTGGAAACGCAGCGATTTTATCAATTGGGATAATTTTTCCGCTGAAGTAATCAGGGAAACTAGTAGATTTTATTAAAGGAAATAATGTGGGGTTAGTGGCTCTTAAAGAATCGAGAACCTAAAAAAACCGTACCCTATCCCTACCCATACGTACCTGTGTTGCCCATATATGGGAGTACCCCCCCGGGAGCACTGGCCGGATGTGACGGAGAAACTCGTACTCACAAAGATTAGCATGGCATTTGCAATTCACGCTACTATAAACGGACTTGTACTGGTTTTTGTGGCATTTGCCGCTTACGGAGAATTTACAACCTTCTCTATTGTCTCCGAAGATGGGGGGAAAACATTGAAAGTGGTACGCGTGGAAGAGAGCGTTTCGATTTCACCTATTTACTACGCAACAGCTCAGCTTACTGGCGATATTCAACAGACCGGGTAGGTATCGGTAAGGAACTGAAATAAATTTATGTCGTTTTTTTAAAAATAGGTTTTTTGTTTCGGCGTTTGGCTTAGCTACATAAACGTTCTCATTTTCTGACGATTTAAAGTGCTTTGCATTGGCATGACAAGGAAACATTAGTTTCAGTTTTCATGTAACTTCTCTGAAAATAACTCAGTCTCATTTCAGTACATCATGACCTCTGACACGATTACTGAAATATTGTTCCAGTTCCAAGTGTCACATGATAATCCTATGCTTTGTCATCCTGAATTGTTAAAAACATTTAGTAGTCAAACATAGACAGAAATCATACAAGGGTACTTTAAACGCAATTTTGTAGTAGTTTGAGTTATTTTTTGGCAGAATTTTTTTTTCACTGCTATTTCCTCTTTTATAATCAGGAAAAAGACATCAACAATCCCAGTGTAGTGACACATTGCGAATTTATTACCCTAGTAACAGCATAATAAGTCTCGCTTCCATGTCTTTTTGACCTATTATAATCAGGATTTTGGTCACAATCATGGGGACGCTGGGATGGCTCTTTCCTTCCACCGCTGTTCCGGTTATACATGTATGTGCCAAGTGTTTCATCCATGCTCAAAGAGTTTTTCAGTCTGTGCACTTCGGGTTTTCCTCCTTCCATATTTCTAAATTCCGTTTTTCACGGAAATCCGAGGACCACAGGTTAGCATTAAACCATACCGTCGTTTACAAATTATTTTGGGGCTACTCGAGAAAGGTGAAATCGGTGATGTAAAAAATAGGCGTTTAGGATTATCCCAAACCAGAACGGACGCGATAACGCGGAACGTTTCGAGTATTAGCGGCCGACCGGTGAGGAAATCTGATCTATAGTTCTTCGACACGTCTCCCTTTCTCCCTTTACAAAAGACCCGAAAGCGACATCGGGGACGGAGTTGATCCGCACTACGAGGACTGGTGTGAGAGGCCCGATGGCCACATGGTTTTAGTGCGCCCGACCCTGGATAAAGCGGTCCAGGTTCGAACCCTGGCCGGGGACATTGTGTTGTGTCCTTAGGCAAACCACTTTACTCTCACAGTGCCTCTCTCCACCCCGGTGTATAAATGGGTACCGGCGAATTTAATGTTGCGGGGGGTAACCCTGCAATGGACTAGCATCCCATCCAGGGGGAAGAAGAAATACTCCTAGTCGCTTCATGCAACAAAAACCGGGATAATGTCCAGCCTTATGGGCCTCTTGGCTCGTATGCAGACTTTTCTTTACGAGAACTGGTACAATACGGGTGACTGTAGGTACAAAGGGTATCTGATCGTGGTGAGTACAAGTAAAGTACGCTCTCTGATAAGGGTAATGTTAACGCTTATAACTATACAGACTAGGGGAGGGCGAGTTCAAAGACTGGACTACTGGAGAACATAAGAATTGTGAAATTTATTTTTCACTTTTAGATGGGCGTTCTTCCAGGTAGCGACCAATCAAGAAATCGAAGACAAGTTCCAAGCAAGAGCCGCTGGAATGCTGGAGGGCTCAATGACAGCTCATTTGATTGACACGCAATGGCAGAACACGCTAGCTGACTACTGCGCGGAGGAGCCCGACTTCTGCTTTACGCTCGGTCAATTCCTGGGCGAGAATTTATCTTGGATGAGATATCAGATAAAAAATAATCCAGCGGATGTATACTGGCACCAGGTATGTGGAGTAAATTCAGGTGCAGCTTTTAAGTTGTAGGCGATATCAACCTCGTTCCCAGGGGTTACCTCTTCCAATCTCTCAGGAAAAAGCCCTGGGAAGAAGCTAAGTTTGAAGCGGTGTAACCAACGTGAATTTTTCGGTGTCCGGTTCACTAGAGAGTTGCAACGCAAAATTCAGTAAACGTAGTCCGTTATCCGTGCTGCAATACTCGGAGAAAATAAACGTTACTTTTATAACCCACGTTTGTAAACTGTCGATGTGTATTAACTGTCAGGCAGATAATATCATCAGGGTTTTGTCGTAAAGTAATACCAAATTGTCAGAACTACACTGGAGTCGGATATCTCGCAGCAAGCAGAGAGATTTGCTACACAGAGGTTGCTCGAGGAATCAATGGTTTAATGACACTGTAAACACATCAGTTCCAGTCTGTTGACTGAAGAAGTGGCAAATTTGTTGACTTTAAAATTACCCAGTTCAAGTTAGCGGCAGGTTCATGTAACTGATGTGACAAACAGAAGGCGAAATTCACGCTCCAATAAATAAACGTGAGTGAAGGAGGGTGTGTTCATTTATTTTTTGTTGTTGTTGTTTTTAAGGTTGAACTTGTTCTTGAGCAACTGGAGGGTTTGAAAGAAGGATACAGAAATAACAGAACAATGGCTAACAAAACTGTAATTCCTGATTTTGGATTCCTGTAAGTCGTTTCATCAGTGTAGTAGTGTATACACCGTTATTTGAAACAACTCTACTAACCATCTGTCCTGGCCTATCATCTGATTATGTTGGGTACTGATATGATTGATAGGTGGGTGGGTGAGTGGGTGGGTGGATGGGTGGGAAGCCCGACTGACGGACGGACGAAAGACAGACAGACTTGTTACAAAAAGCTTCGAGTTTGGCTCGTAATTGGAAGGAAACTCTAATACATTCTAATTTGAAATTCTGGGGTAGCTAGTTGAACTACAAATAACACCTGGTATGTGGATTTGTACATATGGGACCAAGTGGTTCAATTCTGTGTTGTGAAGTCTTATGAAACATTTTCCTTAAGTGACTTAAGTGTCATAAAATTAAATTCTTTCTGCATATAATTTCTTACCTAGCTTGATGCAGGTAGAAGGCGATTTGGATGGCTTAGAACAGGCTCTTGGCAGAAAAACTCCGTCGAAAATGTTTGGCTCGGGCTCATGCTCCGCTCTTTTAAAGCTGTTGCCTGGTAACAAGGATCTGCTGATATCACATGACACGTGGGGTCCTTACAACAGCATGCTGCGGTTATTCAAGTTTTACAACTTACCTTTTCATCTTCAGCCAGGCGCAGGTGTGAACTGCAACAACACATACCCAGTCGAACGTCCCGTAAGCGACCACCCAAAATGTCAAGGTGGTGGCTTACGAGAACTTACACCATATTGGGTCAAAATTTGCCTCATTAACACATGGTAACTGTATGCAGAGCACCTATGCTGATGCAATGTTTTGTTCACTTGAAAAGTCAATTTCGAGAAAAAAATCCAGTTTTTCCCATTGAGGAATTTCCGTCTCTTGCTACCCAGGAATAAAAAACACCTTATTATGTAAAAAAACACCTTATTATCCAATTTCCGCTCTATTATCTGTCGAGTGGTCGCTTACTTTTAGCTCTAAAAATGGTCGTGGTCACTTACGAGAGGTGATCGCAACCGGAGGTTCGACTGTAGTATGATACCATGTAATTCAGTATTCGAGCATGTAGCAAGTTGAACTATGTCTCTTTTTTGGACTGTTTTTAGGTTACAATCTGCCTACAATTGTACCAGGAGACAAGCAATGCTTTTCATCGTATCCAGGGCGTCTCTTGAGTGGGGATGACTTCTATATGATCAGCAGTGGACTGGTAACTCATGAAAATTTAAGACGAAATCCGATAGGAAATCGAGCAATTTCAGTTTTTAGTGGATAAAAACCTTGTACCAGAATAATTTTAGGTAGTTTTCAATCCTTTTTACATTTTCGTAGAGCTAAAGATATAAATAGTTGCCTGAAATAGCACCAAAAACAATTCCGATGAGAACTCGAGAAAGTAAATTTCAAAGTTCAACAGGTAAAATTTCATCATCAGTTTCATTTCACCAATACTTTCAAGTGGTTCATAGGAAGTTCAAAACTTGTTTTCAAACATTTGATGTTGTTAAAAATGATTATTTTAAAAAATGTTTAAAACAGTGGCACGGAAGTTTGCAATACGATGTAAATAATCTCGGTACAAACGTTTTGTCCACTTGTTACTCGAACTTCGGGTGGATTCGTTCTTAACAGGAGCCATAATCGGGGACCCCGATTATGGTTCCTGTTCTTAGTGCAGGACTAGAACCCTTTCTCTCCATTTTGCTCTTCAAATTTTCTAGTCTCTGTATTCTTTGTTCAACTTTATTAGCTCGCTCAAGAGACCACCATAGACAATGACAACCCGGCCTTATGGAAGTTCGTCCGACCTGTTGGAACAGTACTAGAATGGCTCAGAAATCTGGTGGCTAATCGGTTGGCGACGACAGCGCGGGAATGGGTCGAGATATTTTCTAAGTATAACAGTGGAACGTAAGTTTTGATTGTTTTGATTTGTTTCCCTCGAGAGCGATCGATGTCTGTTTTCTCTATACCTCCGGTATGTGGCTTAGAATTGTAGCACATGCCGTGATTGTTTATATTTTTGTTTTTGTTTTTCTTTATGCCTGCTGAAAATCCGCGTCCCAGCTACAACAATCAGGTAAGGACTTCATACAATTGATTTTACAAGGTTGGTTAAGTCAGTTAAAATAGCTATGCGATTTGATGCAAAGACGATAGGGCATTTGAACAACACGATCACATGGTATAAGATCTCCTATGTTGGACGGCAAATTGCGCACTGGGGGATGGGACTTCTTACAACAAAGCAACTCTTCTCCCTCAAGCTTAAAATTTCTTCGTTTTGGATTTCCCAGTGTGCAGTTTGCCATCCGGCATGGCAGATCTTAAACCATATGATCGTATTGTGCAAAGGGGCCTATATCATTGCTAGACTCGTGAATGGCTAATTTCCCTTCTGAGATGCTCCTGCAGGGAATCATGGTAGTTATATTCACCAACTACCATGATTCTCTGCAGGCGCGTCTCATAGGGCGAACTGGTTATTCCATGTTGGGTTTCATTTGGAAATAATCAGCCGGCCATGGCTTCCCGATTCGATCGCGCAACATCGGTTAGTAGCCGTGCGCAGGAGATTATCAGGGTAAGTGCCTTAATAATCTCTTGCCATGCGAGATTAAATTGACAGGAAATTCAGTCACAAAGCAAGGAATTTTTTATTGAGTGTCGTTAAACCAAAACCAAAGTAATCACTCTGGCCAGTTCCAATGGACAGAGATTATTCAGTGAACCTTACAAATCTCGAACAAAAGACATTTGCGCGCGCAAAACGTAGAAAAACGTGTGTGTGCGAGTCAAGATTAGTTTTGTTAACTTTGGTTTTACTTCTGATCGGATGGCAAAGTGGCGCGACTTTTTTAAGCCAATCGCTCAACATGGTTATGCAAAACCAAAGCAAATGCGAATGACTTCCGAGACTCAATTGAAAACTGCTCCATTGCAATTTAATATGCTGTTTATAAATGAGAAAGATGTACTATGCGGTCAAATTTTCTAATACCGCGCAATCTCTTATTTCCAGTGGATGGTTGTGGATTACAATCTATTTACTCCAAATCAAATTCTCGTTCCTGGTACATTCTGGGTTCTTGAACAACTGCCAGGGACGGTAAAGATGTCCGACATGTCTGCACATCTTCAGAATGAGCGTTACTGGGCAAGCTACAACCTGCCGTTAGTTTCATTTGTTACTTACTCAGTCTGGAGCCCAGAGTTCTCCCGGTTCGGTCAGCGGTTGGGCAACCGCCTTTGACCGAGGCGGGAAGACTCTGGGCTCGAGATTGTTTCTTACTGTGTTCTTTTGTAGCTTTTTTCATATTGCCAATGAAAAATATATACAGAGGAATCACGATTTTTCGAACCTCCAAGGGAAACGAAAAATTAAGGGTTTGAGAAATCGGGATTCCACTGTAATGCAATGGATTTCAGCTCAGTTTCTGAGGCTCGTTAACAATTTCCCTAGCAGGTAGCCTCTTTCAGGCCTTCATGAACCTGTTATTTGATAAGAAACAATCGGTTGTCGTTAATCCAAAGTACCGACTTTGGAACAAAGTTGGGACTTGAAGTTTAAATGGACTCGAGTCACGCGATGTACATTCAAGGCAAAGTTAATGGTGCTAGTCATTTTTTCAGGCTAAAAGGTTGGTCTGTCCGTCAGTGTAATTAGGTACATACAATACACAACAGGATCTATCTGCAATTTTCTGGGCTCTTGTTCCTTCAAAATACCTCTGGAGATTTTAAACAAAAGTGATGTTCACTTTTACCATCCCCTTCCCACGCCCCCGCCCCCAGTCCTCCACCTCTCCACCTCTCTAGCTCCACTTCCAAGGCTCTAAAAAAGCGAGGTATAGTATTAATTTGTCGTCAATAACGAAATATAATAAGAAAATCTATTTATCTTGTTCTGTTGGCGCTTATTTCAGTTTACTTCCCCTTTTTTGGCAGATTTTTTCCTGAGATATACAACATGAGTGGCCAGCCCGAGAACGTGAAGAAATACGGTCCTTGGTTTGATTATCACCAGAATCCACGAGCTCAGATCTTCAAACGGGACCAGGGCAAAGTTAACGACCTAAATACTTTAATAAAGTTAATGAGGTTAGTATTCAGCTCTGTTACTGTCAATACGAGCACACGCCGCAAGATCCTAAGAGCTTACACAACTTCATGAGCTAGCGGTCTTGAATCCGTGAGGAAACCAATCTGTTTTAAGGGATTGGAGTGTTTTGGTGAAAGCGCTACGTCTTCAGGATGGAGTTTCTACTGCTCTCTCAGTCTAAATCTATGACAGACAACTGTTTCAAATGTAAACTATTAACGATAGACTAATCTGTAGATAGAGGCAGCACTGAGATCTCATAAGCGGAAGCATTCGAGATCACAGACACGCTCCCGGGCACGTGGACACGCAAGCACGCACGTGAGACGAGGCAGCACGAACGATTGTGAAGCCTTTTCGTAGACCGATAAGTAGCAGAGTTCATTAGCTACGGAATTTTACAATCATCCACATACAAATGTTTCTGGTATTTCTTTGAGAGAATTTTCTTAAATGTCACTGAACTAAGAATCAAACTATTTCCTATGCAGATACAACGACTACAAACACGACCCTCTGTCCAAATGTTCCTGTACACCACCCTACAGTGCAGAGAACGCCATATCAGCTCGCTCAGATCTCAATCCTGCAAATGGCTCTTATCCTTTCAGTTTCTTGGGCCATCGGAACCATGGAGGAACGGACTGCAAAGTAGGCTTGAAATTCTGTCTTACAGAAAACAGAAACGTTTTTTTTACGGGTGCTATCCTAATGGTTAGCGCTCTACATTCTAGATCAAGAGGCTCGGGTTCAGGGACTCCCTTTCTCAGCTATCAGTGAATTTTTCAGCCGTCTCGACTATCGATACATTTTTCCTCTCAGATCTCATTTTTGTGTCATCAGGTTCCTTCCCAGCTGACAGTCAATGTTTTGACCAATTCTCGGCTGTCAATTGAACCAATCCAGACGCCTTTTAAAGGAACTACGTCACGGTTTGCGCGTCTTGAAAAGTTTAGCCTAAATTTTTGAAGTTCGTCGTTTGTAATCCGTGTCAATCTTCTCCATCCTAAGCCATCCTTGTTCC